TCCCTGCGGTCACTTTGCCAGGCAGGGGTAGTTTAAAGTTGACCAGCAAGGCCGGACTGCCCCCAGCCCCACCTCCTCCTTGCACCAGCCACCCCCTTCATCACACTAGTCAGTTTGCACACACTGTCCCCTGTCCACAGTAAAAGAAGGCCTGGTGAAGGACCCAGGATTCCTTGAGTCTCCCAGAGGACTGCTGAGGACCCCAATGGGCAAGAACAACCTTAAAGTCCAACCTGGCAGTAAGTCTGACCTGGCAGTGGCACCCCAGCCACCCTCCCAAGTTATTCTGTTCCCAAGGCCCACAAGGAACCCTGAGGGAGCAGCAGGAGTCGATGGGGATTGGTGCTGGCATCGGGGCCTGGGACCTACTTGAGTAGAGCTCCCCCAACACAAAAATAAACAGGCCGAGAGGCGATCTGGCCGGGCTTCCAAAACTCCCGTGGTTCCCTGAACCCCCAGTCTTTAACGAGGCACACCCCAAGACACCAGGCCTCAGTTCTGCCCCCGCCACTGGCTCAGGTTCCCTTGACAGACCCTGCCAGCAGAGCCCTCCTCTGCCCTGGCACCCCTTTCTCCAACCTAAAGGCCAGCTCCGGCCAAGACAGTCCATCTGGCGGTGCCCCGAGTCCAGCCCTTTCTGGGCCTTGGCCGGACGGACTTCACTCACCTCTTCACAGGGCGATCCAGGAATCCTCATCCGAGAACATGGCCAGAGCCCGGGCCGCTCCCCGACCTCCAACCGCCAGAGCGATCACAGCCGCCCCCCGCACGGGGGGGCTGAGGGTGGCCAAGAACGGTAAATCCAGGTCGGAGTGGCCACCCTCCCCTCCAAAAAAAAAGCAAGAAGCCAAAGACGGGTTCTGCGCTTCAGGTTCCAGCAGTTTAGGTTTCCATGGGACAGCCCGAGGGCGGCGAATCCCGAGGGACACAAAGAGAGCACCGCTGACTTTGATCTCGTGAGCGCAGAGCTCCGCATCCGTGTCGTCGGGTGGCCTCTCAATCCTCGGGCCGGGCCAGCTCCCTGGCGTCGGCGCCGGGCTCGGGCAGGATGTCGAGGCTCTCCAGATGGAACGTCGAGGCGCCTCCCCAGCGGCCCGGAAGAAACGCCGCGCCGCCCCGCGCCGGCCCGGATGGCACGGGAGCCCCTCGCGGGAGCGCCGAGCCCCTCTCCCCGCCCGGGCCGGCGCCCCGGGGCCGCGCGAGCTACGGCGACGCGGAGACGGCGGGGCCGCGGGGCTGAACCTGACACACACCCAGCGCCGGGCTCCTCGACCCCGAGCGCTCGCCCTCGGCGGCTTCGAGCCCCCCACCTTCTGCTCCCCCCCGGGGAAGGGAGGAGGGTAGGTGGGCGAGGAAGAGGAAGGGGCGGGCGGTGCGAGCCCTCTGCCCGCTCTCCACCGGCCGCTCCAGGCCCTGCGCTCGCCTCCCTTCCCCTCTGGCCTCCGGAGCTGCCCCGCCCCCGGCCTGGCCGGCTCAGATCGGCGACACTCCCTCGACCCCCGGCTGGCTGTGGTCGCGGGGGGCCTCGAGGTGTACGGCCCAACCCCGGCTCCCGGCGCCGGGGGGTCAGGAAACTGAGCGGAAAGTGGGGAACGAGGCAGCCATTTGCAACCGGAGAGGAAAGTAGTGCAGCGCGGCGCCGCTCCGCCTCCCCCCCCTCCGCCTCCTGTTCGGCCGGTAGGGTGGTTCCTGCGAAGGGGCTACTTCCTGGCCCAAGGTCTCGGCAGCGGTCGTGGAGATCCTGGAAGCCTCCGGTGCAAGACCCGGGGGGGCCCTTTGGCCTGGGGAACCCCGCTCGAGAAGGGGAGAAAGGAGAAGATTGGCCCTATTTTGTGTTGGAGCGGAGCAGCGGAGGGATACGGCCCTCTCGGAGGAAAGGCTGTGACTCTGCAGTTCTACGCACACGCTGCGGGATCCCTCCGCCGCGCGTTAACCCCGGCGGCGCCGGGCGGCCGCCGGGCAGACACGTGGGAACGAAGCCCCCCTCCTCCGCGCCCGGGCCCTGGCACTGCCTCCTTCACTGCCCGGTTCGGGAAGCTAGGACTTCGGCCACTTTCTAGTCCCGTTCCCTTGGAGTTCTAGGTCCCCGAAACTCCCGCTGCCCCCTTGAATTAACCAGAAGCAATCTTTCCTGGGAGGGGGATAGAAGAAGAGCCAGGAGATTGGCCGCTGCTCTGCATCTTGGGAACTGGAGTCCGCAAATGGAGAAAGTGAGGCACGGCGCCTGGCGCTGCAAAGGGTGGCTTCTTGCCACGTTCAGGGACCGAAGGAAAAGCGGAACGAGTCGTTGCTTCTGACTCTCAATACCCCTCGTGAGGAAAATATACTGTCAGTAACCCCCCATTACCACACACCTCCCCCATCAAAACATAAATGTAGTTCCCTTTCTTTCCCGGGTGCCCCGACCCCCAGTCTTTTCGGATCTTCAGGGCCTGTGTCTCCCCCCCCCCCTTTTTTTTAGTAAACTAGAGGGGCTGTACCTTGGATCCTGGCTGGAGTACTGTTTGCAGATCCCAAACACTCTGTTTGCAGACCCCCCCCCACCACCACCACCATAAGTCTGGATGAGGAATGGAATGCCTTTTCTGTCTTAGCTGTACCCAAAGGATGGTCAAGAGGATACAAATTCATTATGTCCTAGATACTTTATATATTCTTAGTTATGCATTACGTGGATTATGTCTGTATTACAGATCAAGAGACTGAGGATAAAATTGTCCAACAAACCACATCTAGTGGGAAGTAGAGCCATGTGTAAACAATGGCCATGTTTTTCCTAGGATTGAGGATATATATATATATACACACACACACATATTAAGGAAGATGTGGAGAAAGAAGCAGGCAAATCACGTGCAGGGCCAATTCTGTGGGAAAGGGTTTACAGTGCTATCCAATAGAATTTTCTGCAATGATTGAAATGCCTTATAACTACACTATCTAATATGCACTATAGGTACACTAATATAACTTGGCCACATGTAGCTATTTGAAATGTAGGTGGTACAACTGGGGAACTATTTAATTTTAATACTAAATTAAACTTAAAAAGCCATGTGTGACTTGTGGCTTTCATATTGGAGAGTGCAGGAGATCTAAATCCCTACTGGCCAGCGTCATAGAAGGGATCAGGACTAGAAGTGTCCTGTGCTAGCCACACACTAACATCATGTGCCCTGCACTGACCATGCAGGTCTATTTCAGCAAAAAATTCCAGCAGTAATTCCACGATCGTCCCAGCTATAGTGGAATAAACCAAGAGACAAGAGTTGGAAAATGGAAGGCCCCTCCCTACTCTCTGCACCCAAAGGCAGGGAGGTAGACTCCACCAGAAAGACCTCCAATAACAAAATAGCTACCATTTCTTAAAGGTTTATTATGTATGAGAAGCTGTGCTAAGCATTTCATGTATCACCTCAGTTTAATTCTCACCTCAACCCTATGAAGGTTTGACTATACTTCATAAATGAGAACTTGAGGCTCAAAGAGATTAAGCAAGATTACACAACTAAGTGGAAGAGTAATTATTCCAACCCAGCCATTCACCACTATTCTTGACTACTATCCAGCTTTGAAGTTGACCGATACACTTCTAGAAACCCTCAGGCAAAAGTCTATACCAAACCTCATGGAAATGGCAGCAGGAAGGTAGGTACCTGTAATGAGTGTTCCAGGTGAGATGTGCAAAAGGACCTAATTTAATGTAAGGAGAGAGGGCGATGACAACCCTAAGAGATTCCTAAGCCACTAAGATTGCTCTTTGCATTATGCTTCTTCCAGCAGCCCTTATTTCTTTTTAGATTCTGGATCAGAGATGCAGAAGCAGTTGTTAGGGCTTCTGAAAACCAGCATGACAATTATCCCCAACCATAAGTCCAACTGGCCTGGAGCCAAGCACTAGCAAGATCACAGCTAAAAATCACACCTAGCCCTAACCGGTTTGGCTCAGTGGATAGAGCATCAGCCTGCGGACTCAAGGGTCCCAGGTTCGATTCCGGTCAAGAGCATGTACCTTGGTTGCAGGCACATCCCCTGTAGGGAGTGTGCAGGAGGCAGCTGATGTTTCTCTCTCATCGATGTTTCTAACTCTCTATCTCTCTCCCTTCCTCTCTGTAAAAAATCAATATATTTTTTAAAAATCATCATTCTCCCCTTTAAAAAAAAAAAATCACACCTAGATATTGTCCATCCTCCCCCACTAAGAATACCTCAGTCTCCCCTAGTTGGCAGGAGAAGTTTATGCCCTCCTGTGAAGGATACCATTTAGGTAACTCCTTGGAGGAAATATTCGGCCAATTAAGCCCTAGGACTGGTGGGAAGTGGGGGGTAGGCTCAGAAACTATACATATATAGGACCAAACCTTCCTAGCTGTAATATATCCATCCTCCTACTGAGGTGGTGGACCAATAAGGACAGAAGCAATAGCCTTGGCGCCTAAAAAAGAGCACAACTCCAAAGATGTGAAAGGCATCAAAAGGTCACCAAAGGTATGAAAACAGTAAAGAAAATCTGTTTTAATGAAAGGCACTGTAGACATGGGGATACAAGAGGATGGATATACAACAGAGGCATTATTTCTTACTTTACTCAATTCTCTTAGAAAGACAAAAGTTTAGTCCCTGCCTCTATACTCATTCTCGATTCTTACATCATTAGGAATGAGGGGCTTCCTTCCTCTTCCCCAAATCCTACCTTCTCTCCGAGTTCCAGCAAATGCCAAGGCCCAGGAGAGAAGCTAGGTCAGTTGTGGCAGCTGGCCACTAGAGGGTAGTGTTTCTGTAGTTAAGGTGCTCTTGGGAGCCTACAAACTTGGATGGGTGTGGCAGCCAAATGGTACCTGTAAAGGAAGTCTTAGGGTAATGGTCCTGAATGAGTGAGAAGTAAGGAATAGGAACAAGGTAGGAGGAAAGAAATTAGCCCTGAATCCTCACCAAAGACCACAGTCATCAATCCTTGGAAAATGAGATATTGTCGCTGTGTTCTCCCATATACAGAGAAGTCAACTACAAAAAGATTTCTCAGTTTATTTGCATATATACATTGTCACCCCAGGGAGCTAGCTCCACTTCTGGAGTCCCTAACTCCCTTCACCCAGCCAACATCCAAAACCTACATAGGAGACTGGGTCCTGAATACCCAGGACTCATATCGCAACCCTGCAGGTTATAAGAATTCATTTAGCAAAAACAGAGGCCAGGGCCCATTAGACATCCTTGCCCCTTTGTAAACATTGACAACCAGGCCACTGGAGCCTGGGGAAAGTGTGCAAATGTAAGGGTACCATTACTGTGTGCCCAGAGAGCCAGGGACACAGCTGGCAACCATACCCGTGAAGTCCTGAGGACCTGCCCCCACTGTGGCCTGGCAAGTGCCAGGGGAAGAATCCAGGCAGCTACCCCATGCTTGAGGGTTCACATGAGACTGCAGCGGCGCTCTTGCCCGTAGGAATTCTCCACACGGGCAATCTCCTGGATGACTTTGGTGAAGATGCCTTGAGTCAGCTGCACGGGAGAGAGATTCAGGGCAAAAAAGTTAGTTCATTGCCAATAGTATCACCCAGCTCTTGAGGTGAATACCCCACTCTCCACCATCCCCACCACCAAGCACTTCCATAAGAAAAAAACACTGCCACCATCTTCCTAATTTTCAGACCCAGCACCTGATTCTCTCGAGCAGATGACTCCATGAATGTCGCACCCCATGACTCTGCCAACTTCTTCCCTTCAATTGCCTGGACCTCCCTGGAAGCAAATTTGGGACATGAAGATGGAAGATAGCAATGTCCTCATGTTCTCTGCAAAATCTTTCTTTTTTTAATTTAAAAAATATATATTGAGAGAGAGGAGAGATAGAAACATCAATGATGAGAGAGAATCATTGATTGGCTGCCTCCTGCACGCCCCTTATTGGGGATCAAGCCCGCAAACTGGGTATGTGCCCTTGACTGGAATTGAACCTGGGACTCTTCAGTCTGCAGGCCGACACTCTATCCACTGAGCCAAACCAGCTAGGGCTTTTTTTTTTTTTTAATCCTCACGTGAGGATATTTTTTTCATTGACTTTTAGAGAGAGTGGAAGAGAGGGAGGGAGGGGAAGGGGAAGGGGGACAAAGAGAGAAAGAAACCAATGAGAGACATATGAGACACATGAGACACATTAATTGGTTGCCTCCTACACCTGTCCTGACTGGGCAGGGATCGAACCAAGGTACGTGCCTTTCACTGGGAATTGAACCCACAACCCTTGGGTCTGAGGGCCGATGCTCTAACAACTGAGCAATACTGGCCAGAACTGCAAAATCTTTATAGAATCTAGACATCTTCTAACCCATCCCACTTCCAAGATTTAGAAGGAGGGTTGGGGAAGGAGAAAATATAAGTAAAACAAAGAAGCCTGGAACTAAGGCTTGAAATATGAAATTATAGCTTTTGCAACAGAAGAGTTATATCTTAACCTTCAAGTTAGAAACAAAAAGAGGTGAAATGACTTGGTTCAAGTCAGTGGCAGAGCCAGGACTAGACCCTGACTGATTTCTAGCCCAGCTTACTTTCCTTCATCTTGAGCTGCAGAGATTACCATACCTGTCTGGAGAGAGATCTGCCTTGTTCCCCACTAGCACCACCGGCAGCCTGTGAGGAAACAATAGTTACTACAGGATCCCCTCCAACTGCCCATGGACCCCAACCTCCTTCACATCAGGGCTGGACCTCCCCATCAGACCAGACAGGATCTAGTCCCAGCCTCCTCTCTAACTTAAACCAGAATTCCCTTCTGCTCTCTCCCATGCTGCAGTATCCACATTATGTCTCTATTCCCTAGGTCCACTTACCGAGTTTTCCCATGGCCTTCATGTAGCTTTTGGTACAGATTCTCAATGACGTGGAAGCTTTAAACACAAGAAATGTAGCTATCAGACTGCGTAATCTCAGAGGGAAGGCGGGGGAGGTGGGTGAGTGGGAAGAGATCAACCAAAGAACTTGTATGCATATATGTATAACCATGGACACAGACAATAGGATGGTGAAGGCCTGGGTCGGGGGGGCGGGGGGAGGGTGGAGGTGGACTAGACGAGTCAATGGGGGAAAAGGGGGGACATATGTAGTACTTTCAATAATAAGGATTTAATTTTTAAAAAAAGAAGAAGAAATGAACCATAACCCTCAGATCCTCAAAAGTCCCCTACTCCCAACCTTGGTCACTTACCTATGCAGAGAGGTGACAGAATACACAAGCACATAACCATGGACCCCAATGATGAATGAATAGGGCAGAATGCTGTACTCATCCTGATAAGAAAAAGAAATATCAATACCTAGATCCATAATACTCAGATGACAAAGGTTGGTGGACTGTATCCTGGTACCCTCCCTGGAGGACTCCCTATTCCATTCACTTTTATTCATCAAGTATTTATCGAGTAGCTCCAATGAGTGCTACCCACTACCAGATGCTAAAATGCTTTTCTTTTAATACTAATTTATAAATGAACCACAGAGGCTACCAGATTTCATCTCTCAGGACTGAACTACCACATTTAGATACCCTACCCCAAATTAGTACCTGCCCTGCTGTGTCCACCAGGTGGAGGTGAAACTCGTCTTTGCCAAGAGTCACTATCTTGCTGTAAGCTGTAAAGAAAAGAAAACTTGACTGTGAGGTGCTTTGAAGGGCTAGCGATGTGAACCCCGATACATTTTTAACTCCGGGGGGTGGGGGAGACATAGATGGACTAGGTCCAGAGAGCTCTCCAGGAAACTGGAGAGAAAATGTTAAGATTCTTATTGTCTACATCTGCACCATTCTGGACTCAGTATCTTGCAAAATCCACACCCTGGCTCCACTCATAGAAAGGATTGCTAGAGAAGAGATTAGATTTAATGCCTAATCAAATAATATGATTAAATTATTCCTTGGCATCAGGATAATCCCCTATTATGGAGCTGGGTGGAGCACCCAAGCCCTCCCTCACCACCCACCCCCCAGGGAGAAGTTCACTCACTATTATCCACTGTAGGATCATAGCCTTCCAAGAACTCGCCCTCCACAAATTGATGTGCCAAAGATGTCTTCCCTGTGGAAAGCAGTGGTAGTATTCAATCAGCTATCTACATTCACACCCTCTGTCCTTTTGGGCTGTAGCCCAGGAGTAAAGGGGACCCCAAATTAGCACCCTAGCCTGTGAATGCCCCATGCAATACTTTCCCTTAGCCTACCCTCAACCCTCTTTTCGCCCTGGGTCTCTGCACCTTGGCCACCGGATGCATTCAGTAGCCCCGCAAGGAAGCCTTTCCAGTCTCCTTTCCCCACCCCACCCCTGGGAATTTCCGAGATTCCCTAGGATCAAGTCTGCCCCGCACCCGGCCACCTGCGACTTACCCAACACAGACCACGCCCTGTCATCAAACGCTGACCCCACCTCTACCCCCAAGACTAATGCCGGAGACCACCCCGGTATTCCTATAGCCAAGTTCATATTAACCCTTACATATTCCGCTTCCTGCAGCCCTCCACACACTATCACCACCCCAGGCTTTCCTCCAATATCCTTTCAATCCTCGCTCTACATCTCCTTTCTAAGGATGCCACCATTCCTCCCTAGTCGCGTTCCCGCGGCAGCGCGCCTCCTCTGGCCACAAAGCAGCGGTGCGTCCATGCTCTCCCCAGGGCGGAGACTCACCTACAGAGCGGTACCCGAGGATGACCACCTTCCTATAGCGGACTAGCGGCATGGCAGGGGTCGGCCCCGAAGGGCTTGCAGAACTGCGGGCTGGGAAAGCCCTAAAAAGAGGAGGTCACAGTGTAGACAGATGCAGCAACTGGCACAGAAAAGCTCTCTCGAAGGTGCCAGGGGCAAGCTAGAGAGAAACCAAAACAAGCGCCGCGCCCGGAGCTCGCCACGTGATCACAACACAGCACGACTAAAGCGAGGGAGAGGCGCGCCGGAGAACTACTGTGCCGCGTCGCGCCGGGCTCCGCCCCCCAGACCGCTCGCCATTGGTCTATTAGAAAAGATTAGGGTGGGGCCACCAGCAGGAGGAAAGGGTGGGCCTCACGTGTAGCGGGAGAACCAGGAGCTGCGCGTGCGCAGACTAGAGCCGGTTCATTCATAAAGAAACAGAAAGGAACCCAGGGTCCTAGAGGTGTTTGCGTATTTGCGACTTAGCAAAAGTGGCTGCGAAGAATCATGGATAAAAAACATCTATTGTGGCTGGCCTGGAATTTCTGATCAAAAGATTCTAGGCCTTCCTTTTGCAAGGTATCTGGGGTCCTTGAATAGGGAAAAAAGGCCAAAGTTCTAATATATTCCCTCTGCTTCCCCCAGCCTTCTGCCCCAGATCTTTTTATTATATTTTTTTAATTGATGTTTTTACAGAGATGAGAGAGAAACATCATCAGCTGCCTCCTGCACACCCCCTACTGGGGAAGTGCCCGCCACCCAGGTACATGCCCTTGACCGGAATCAAACCCGGGACCCTTCAGTCCGCAGGCCGATGCTCTATCCACTGAGCCAAACCGGTCAGGGCCCCCAGATCTTTTATTGTCAGGTTTCCACTGTCTTCCAGGATCTAACTTCGGAACTGCAATTATTATTCTTGGGAAAATTGTTAGAATTTATGGCCAGGTCTTTCGAGGTTTCGTTGTCATCATCATAATCAACATTTATTTATTCAACAAATAGTTATTAAGCATATACTATATGTTCCAGGCATTGCTCTAGCTTTGGGGATAGAGTGATGAATATGACAAACAAGGTTTCTGTGCTCATGAAACATAAAACTAGTTGGACCTAGTTGGGTCCCAGCCGGTTTGGCTCAGTGGATAGAGCATCGGCCTGCGGACTGAAGGGTCTCAGGTTCCATCCCAGTCAAGGGCACATGCCCCGGTTGGGCTCGGCCCCCAGTTGGAGGCAGCCAATCAATGATTCTCTCTCATCATTGATGTTTCTATCTCTCCCTTTCCCTTCTTCTCTGAAATCAATAAAAATATATAAAAATAAAATAAAATGTTATGTATTAAAAAAACAATACCTAGTTGGTAAGAGACAAACATAAACAAGGAAACATTAGGTAGTATTAAGTGCTGTAAAAGGTAGTGTAATAAGAAATGACCATTTTAGACCAGTGATACTTTTTAAAATATATTTTAAACTCAACACTGGGGATTGAGCCCGCTACCTGGGAATGTACCCTGACCCGGGGACTTGAACCATGACCTCCTGGTTCATAGGTCAATGCTCAACTACTGAGTCATGCCAGGGGAGGGGAAGGGAGGGAAGGGGAGGGGAAAGGAGAGAAGGGGAGGAGAGGGGAGGAAAGGGAAGGGAAGGGAAGGGAAGGGAAGGTAAGGGAAGGTAAGGGAAGGGAAGGGAAGGGAAGGGAAGGGAGAGAAGACCAGCCAACCTAAAGCAGATGAAGCCTAAGAGGATGGCAGGGACCAGGCCATATAAAGGAGTTTGGGCTAATTCTAGTACCTAGAAAGCTGTTGATGATGTTTAAGTTGAGGCAAGACATAATCTGAATTTTGTTTTTAAAAATCGCCCTCACTGTGGAGAATGCTTTGGGGTTTGAGAGGGATAGGAGCAAGCGGAAAAGCAAGGAGATCAGCTACAGACTGTCACTTGTAGTCCAGGTGAAAGGTGAGGGTGGCTTGCCTAGAGTGGTAGAAATGAATGAAGTAAGAATTTCAGATATGTTCTGAGGCTGAGGTCAAGATGACTTGCTAAAGAATTGGATACAGGAGGTGAGGAAAAGAAAACACCTATATTTACAGAGAGTTTTACATTGTGCCAGGTGCATTTCATTGTTATCTCATTTAATATTCAGAAAAGCCCTATGGTTGATAATTGGTATTATTAATTCATTCATCAACAAATACTTATCAAACAACCATCATGTCCCAGACACCCTTCTAGGTGCTGTGAAAAGAGCAGGGAACAACACAGACAAGGTCTTTGCTCACAAGAAGCAAGCTCTTTTGGGAGAAGACCAACAATCTACAAGTAAACAATAAGCAAGTTATAACAAAAAAAGTTATAGCCGTGGCTGGTGTGGCTCAGTAGTTGGGGCATCATCCTGGTTTGATTCCTGGTCAGGGCATATGCCTGGGTTTTGGGCTTGATCCCCAGTAGGGGGCATGTAGGAGGCAGCCAGTGGATGTTTCATTCTCATATCGATGTTTCTCTCACTCTCACTCTCCCTTCCCCTCTCTCTAAAAATCAATAAAAAATATTTTTTTAAAGTTATAACTACAATGAGAAAAAAACACAAGACATTAATGGGCTAGCAAGTAACTTGGGGTGTGCTATTCTTTTTTTATGTGATATCCTAGAACTTTTGAGAAGGTGACATTTGTACCTGAGACTTGAATGATGGGTAGCTATTATCTTACAGATGTGGAAACAGACTTAGCCATACAGGTAGCACACAGAAGTTATTTATTCTGAAAAACCCTGGTGAAGTGGTTATTTAGGAGCTGAATTATACTGGAGGACAGGCTTTGCAAAACTATGGAACCATCTAATGCTTTAAAAAGTCCAGATCTATGAAAGCTGTTTCAAAGAGCCATTTCTTAATCTGGCCTCAGAAAGGGACCCAAATACCTTTTCTACTGGGTAAAAGAAGGTCCTTGCAAATCAGCAATTTTAGGTTGGATAATTGGTCCTGAATGAGGTTGGTAGTGATACCAGATTGAGTCTTAAGCACTGTAAGATAGAAGAACTGGATTCAATTAAATTCCATAAAAATTTATTCATCTCCACCCTGGCTAGTGTGGCTAGTCAGTTAGTGCGTCAGCCTGCATACCAGAGGGTCTCAGGTTCAATTCCTGTCAAGGGCATGTACCTGGGTTGCAGGTTTGATCCCCGTATATAAAGATCACCAATATAGGATCAAGGAAAGGAAGCAAATTCTCCTAACATTAGGTAAATGGGCTTGGAATAGAATTTCTAGTGACAGCATCATGTATTGCTATGTCTCAAACAACTGAGACAAAATAAGATGAAATGCTCCCAGAAAACTATTTTAAGTATCTCTATGAAAAGTGAAAACATTTTTACTATTTTTACATCAAAATTATGGGTTCCATTGCATAGGTCTTCAGGTCTTCTTGGTTTTCCACAGCTTTGGTGGAGAAACAGTTATGGGTTCACCTCCCTGTTGATGTATCAGTTATCAATTGTTGCATAACAAAGTATATAAAAACTTGGTGGTTTAAAACAACAACAATGTATTATTTCTCATGATTTTGTGGGTTGAATTAGCAATTCTGTTTTCTCCTGAACTCACTCATATGGCTACTAGAGGCTACAGACCCTGTTGGGTGGGCCTCTCCTTCAACTACAGCTACAGTTACAGCTCCGTCTTGGTTCCTGTAACCCTACCTTCCCTCGCTCCTTCAGAGTTAGGAGCTGTCACCTCTAGTGGCTTCCCAATGATGCCAGACTCAGAATGCTTTACCATTCTTGCAGATACTCCTTCACCCTGGCCACACCTTTGTGAACAGGCCTTTCATTATATTCTCCTCAATTCCCCATTTGGGTGTGCAAACTGTTTCCTCCAAGGACTTTGAAATGATACATTTCTGAATGTTATAATAGGGAAAATGATCAAATAAAAGATTAGAAGACAAAATTATATTGTCCCAGGTCACAGTAAAGTAGCTAGAAGCATAGAGGAAGAAAACATTCTTCAAAAAAGAAAATACAAGAAAAGAAAGTTGATTGATTCTGTCTGAAAGGATCAGAGATTCCACAACGTAATTGACAATTGAACTGGGCCTTAAAGCTTGAGAAGACCCTAAGGGAAAAGGCAAAATGCTTAGGGAAGAGTGAAAACAGTGTGTCTGGAGATGCCAAGAGGACCCTGTACCTGGGACGCTATGTGTGGGGGCGGTGTGGGAATTAAAGCTGGAAATTAGGCTGGGGTCAGATCAGAGGGGAAGGGAGGGGAAAGGCTTTTAATGCCAGATTTAAGAATTTAACCTTTATCAGTTACCTCAGAGTTCTCCAAATATACCACTAGTGGTATATAATGTAACTTAGGTAATAAACAAACTTTTAAAAAAATGTACATTTAAAAAACAACATGGCTCAGTGGATGGAGCGTCGGCCTGCGGACTGAAGGGTCCTGGGTTTGATTCCGGTCAAGGGCATGTACCTGGGTTGCGGGCTGCTTACTGCACACCCCCCACTGGGGATCAAGCCCACAACCTGGGCATGTGCCCTGACCAGGAATCGAACTGGTGACCTTGATTCATGAGTCAATGCTCAACCACTAAGCCACACCGGCCGGGCATTATGTACTTTTAATGTGTGCTAGGAAAAACAATAGCTATAATGCCAAAACTATGAGCTCATAAATATTCTTACTTAGAAGAGGCTCAAGTTGGTAGTAAGAAACATCAACTGAACTAAAGAAAAATATTAAATAATTTTATGGGTGGAAAGGGACCATGGACATAATCATGGAAAAACAAAGTTTGGGAAGCACTGCAATAAGCAATGTGACTTTGCTGTTTCCTTGGTGGAGGGTTTGCGCGGAGGGCAGTACCATGAGGAGAGCTGTGCTTTGTAAGGATCACACTGGTAGCCTGGTGGATAAGGATGTACAGAGAGAGGTTGGGGCTGGAGGCAGCAAGCCCTATAGGAAGCCAATACCCATGAGGAGAAAGATGAGGGCCTGGACCAGGGTAATAACAGAGAGGATGGTGAGGACTCGTACGAAGGGTATTCCAGACAGAAGTTATGAAATTGATGACCTGGTTAAAGGGGATAAAGTGAGGGAAGATGGCAAGATCATTTACAGAATTAGAGGACATGGGAAGAAGAACAGGAATTTTTTAGTGGGGGCATGGGGAAAGAATTGAATTAATGCATTTATTTTTGACACGTGGACTTTGGGCACGTCTCAGATGTTCACATGGCAACGGGCCAATTAAGGATATGTGTTTCTAGGCACAGCACAGAAACATAGCCAGGATACACATACAGGCATCTTCTTGCATATTCAATATGTCTGCTTCTCCCCTTACTCCTACACTTACTCTTGACTTCTGTTAGCATGTAATATGATAAACACCAACCCATTTTAGGAAAATGGGAAGTAGTTAGCTCCTCCTCAGGGGACCTTGCTCAATCCAGGAACCACAACCAGCAAATTACAAAATAATTGAATTATAACTTATTAGAGCTGGAGGATCTTGGTGGTCATCTGTATTGTTATTCTCAAACTTGAAGACGCATCAGAGTCACCTGGAGGACTTGTTAATATACATATATATATATATATATATATATATATATATATATATAATTTCTTTATTGATTTCAGAGAAGAAGGGAGAAGGATAGAGAGATAGAAACATCAATGATGAGAGAGAATCATTGATAGGCTGCCTCCTGCACACCCCCTACTGGGGATTGAGCCCGTAACCTAGGCATGTGCCCTTGGCCAGAATCGAACCTGGTACCCTTGAGTCCGCAGGCTGACGCTCTATCCACTGACCCGAGCTAGCTAGGCTACACTGAAGTTTTTGATTCAGTATGTCTGAGCAGGATCTAAGAATCTGCATTTTAAACAGGTTTCCAGATGACACTGAGGTTGCTGGTCTGGGGACTACACTCTGAGAATCACTGATGCTAGCTCAACTTCTCCAGAATACAGTCTGGGAAACTGCAGCCTAGGAAAGTTATTGTTATTATTTTAATCCTCACCTGGGGATATGTTTTCTTGTTAATTTTAGAGAGAGGGAGGGAGAGAGAGAAACATAAATGTGAGAAATATTGATCAGTTGTCTCCTGTAGGTGCCCCAAATGGGGATCAAACCCACAACCTAGGTATGTGCCCTGACCAGAAATCGAACCCACCACCTTTTGGTGTACAGGACAACACTCCAACCAAGTGAGCTATACCATCTTGGATGGAGAAGTTATTTTCTAAAAAAAATTTTTTATTTATTGATTGATTTTTAGAAAGAGAGAGAAACATTAATGTGTTATTCCACTTATTTTGCATTCATTGTATGTGCCCTGACCAGGGATCAAACCTGAAACCTTGGCATCTTGGGATGACACTCCAACCAACTGAGTCACTCGGCCAGAGCCAACCTGGAAAAGATAAGTGCATCACAGCAGCAAAACATAGTGGGAAGAACATGGACTCTGCAGTTAACCAGACCTGGGTTCAAATCCTGAATTAATTACTATGTGATATCAGGAAGGCTACTTAACTACTCCGAGCCTCAGTTTCTCTTCTATGAAGTGGTTAGACCAACGAGGTAAGTGTTTGTCATTCTTTCTGGCCGCCAGCAGAAAGATGGAGTTCCAGGTGGACAGCGGCAACAGTGGCTTCCAGAATCCAGTTTCAGGGCATTGGTCCGCAAATTGCAGTGTTTAGTGTATATATATGTGTATGTGTATATATTTTTATTAATTTATTGATTTGAGAGAGGGGGGAAGGGGAGAGAGAGAAAGAAAGAGAGGAAGAGAAACATTGATTTGTTGTTCCACTTACTTATGCATTCATTGGTTGATTCTTATATGTGTCTGCCCGGGAATCAAACCCACAACCTTAGTGTTTGAGACGATGCTCTAACCAGCTGAGCTACTCGGCCAGGGCCTGCCGTGTCTAGTGTTTAGTAGCAGTTGACAACTTGGTTCTGTGATTTGAGGCACTGTTTCTGATTGCATAGCCTTGGAATCCAGGCCCCCATTCCACCTTGTGACCCACTTAAATCCTTCTGGAACCAATTACTTATTTTGTTTTGTTTTTTAAATATATTTTTATTGGTTTCAGAGAGAAAGGGAGAGGGAGAGAGAAATAGAAACATCAATGATAAGAGAGAATCTTTGATTGGCTGCCTCCTGCATGCCCCACACAGGGGATTGAGCCCGAAACCTGGGCATGTGCCCTGACTGGGAATCGAACCGTGACCTCCTAGTTCAGTGGTTCTCAACCTTCTGGCCCTTTAAATACAGTTCCTCATGTTGTGACCCCAACCATAAAATTATTTTCGTTGCTACTTCATAACTGTAATTTTGCTACTGTTATGAATCGTAATGTAAATATCTGATATGCAGGATGGTCTTAGGCGACCCCTGTGAAAGGGTCGTTCAACCGCCAAAGCGGTCGTGACCCACAGGTTGAGAACTGCTGTCCTAGTTCATAGGTCAACGCTCAACCACTGAGCCACGCCTGCTGAGCCAAGTACTTATTTTGTACAACTGTTGTCAAAGGTAAATGTGATATCCCTATCACTCTATTAAGAAACAGTTGGTGCTCATTAAATTGAAGCCATCATAATAATCATCATAATAATTAGAAGTGAATTCACAGTTTGGCCAGAGGAAGGCAGATGGTCTGGCCCCCTCCCCGGACACCACTGAAAATGATGGTCCTGGGAAGAGCACTCAGTGTAGCCAACTTGGGAACTGGACTGGTTTATAACACCTCCAAATGCTCATGTGCTAGAGAAGTCTTGCCATAATTCATGAGCGCCTGATCTGGGTCCCACCATGCCAATGTATTCATTGCTCTCTCTTCATCACCAAGAATGCCTACGTCCCCTGCCTCGGCGCCCTGGTCGGCAAACTGCGGCTCGCGAGCCACATGCGGCTCTTTGGTCCCTTGAGTGTGGCTCTTCCTAAGCCTTAGGAGTACCCTAATTAAGTTAATAACAATGTAAACTAATAAAGAATTTTAAAAAAAGTTAATAACAATGTACCTACCTATATAGTTTAAGTTTAAAAAATTTGGCTCTCAAAAGAAATTTCAGTCGTTGTACTGTTGATATTTGGCTCTGTAGACTAATGAGTTTGCCGACCACTGGGCCCTAGGGCATTTCCTTTTCCGGAGAGGTACCAGATTGTTGCCTAATGAGCACAATTCAGAATGAAAGGAAAGGAGTCTCTCTGTGGGGTATTCAGCCAGGTCATATGGAGGCCTGAGGAACCACCCCTGGCCCTCCAGTGACCACTTTGGGCACCTCCCTCCCCAAGGTAATTCTGGATACACAATTCTGATTGACTGAGTTGCCCATTTGCCACATTCCACTTGGGGTTAATAGGTTGACATTGGCTAATCAATTACTCTCCCACGTTAGATATGTTATTATCAAGTAGATAAAGCTGAAAGAAATCTTTTTTTCCTTCTTACTCTTTACTTCCTCCTTCCTGCAATCACCACTACGTCTTTTCAAGCCTACAGATATAAATATTTCCTGAAACTGTCCTTTTTTTCCCCATAATCCTCACCCAGGATATGTTTTTATAAATTGAGTTTTAAAGAGAGAGAGGAAGGCCCTAGCTGGTTTGGCTCAGTGGATAGAGTGTTGGCCCGTAGACGGAAGGGTCCTGTGTTCAATTCTGGTCAAGGGCATGTACCTTGGTTGCAGGTTTGATCCCTAATACAGGGCATGCAGGAGGCAGCTGATCAATGTTTCTCTCTCATTGATGTTTCTAACTCTATCCCTCTCCCTTCCCTTCCTCTATATCCATATATATATATATATATAGATATATATATATATATATCTCCCCAACTGTGGTTTTAAAAAAAAAAAAATTAAAAATTCCCCCAGATGTGGTTCATTGGTTTTTCCTCCAACCAAAAAACACGGAAGTCCCGGGTTGATTTCCCATCCAGGGCACATGCCCGGGTTTCAGCCTTTTTCCTCGGGGGGGGGGGGGGGGGGGCATGCAGGAGGCAGCTGATTGATGATGTTTCTCTCTCATCGATGTTTCTATTTCTCTATCCCTCTCCCTTCCCCTCTCTCTAAAAATCAATAAACACATTTCAAT